GGACCGCAGCACTTGGCAGTGGTGTCCAGTGACGACGCGAGGCATGTGGGGGTTGGGCTTCTTGGACAGGGATCTTGCCCGTGACGAGCCCCAGTGCTGTGAGCTTCGCATGTGCCCGTCGGCTGCCTCGTGGCTGATTCTTCAGGGCACCCTTGGAGGAGTTGGCTTCGCAGAGCAGCTGCCCGGGCTCTGCATCCGCCAGCTCCTGCAGCCTCACGCCCGGCCTCTGCACACGCCCACGCTGCGCCTCGGTCTGTGGTCCCGCCGGAGCCTGCCCACCCGGAGCGCTGACCCGCCCTCGCCCGCAGGGCCACACTCTCTCCGGTTCGCTGACCACAGACCCTGCAGGAAGATGCCCTCGGGGATGAGGGAGTGGCCGCAACCTCAGGATGGGAGTGACTTCAGTGTCTCAGTAGGGCCTGGCTGTTTGGGGCTGAGCGGGCGGAGCCAGAGCCCCGGGCCGCGAGGAAGCTGAGGTCGCCGTCCCGCCTGCAGACCCTGCTCCTGGGGCCCGGGCTGCCCCTGGGCCAGAGGGTCCCTCTGGGTGCCGTCCACGTGCCCACCTGCGCCCTGGGCCCCTGACGCGCAGCTCTGCGCCTGCCTCAGTGGACACAGCTAGCTCGGCCGAGCCCGTTCAGCTTTCTGGAAAGAATGCTGCTGATGGTTTTGTTAACGAATCAAATAAATTAATCGTAGGCTCAGTATTTGTGAGGGTTGTTTATAGAAATCCATGATTTCAGACGTAAATGGCACTTTATTCTGGACCAGGGAGCTGAGAAGCCTATGGAGGGGGGGAAGGAGGAGGAGGAGGAGGAGGAGGAGGAGGAGGAGGAGGATGAGGCGGAGTTGGGGGAGGGGGAGGAGGAGGAGGAGGAGGGGGAGGAAGAAGGATGAGGAGGAGGAGGATGAAGGAGGAGGAGGAGGAGGAGGAGGGGCAGGGGCGTGTCCCTCCCCAGCGCTGACTTGGTACGAGGCGTGTCCGGTGCCGGGATGCAGCAGGGAGAGGCAGACAGGTCCTGCTGTCCCGGAGCCGACGTTTCCCCAGGGAGGCCCAGTGCACAGAATCGGAGACACTTCGTGGGGTTTCCCGGCCATCCTGAGTGAGGCCTGGGCCCCGGGTGAGCCGCTGCCACCAGGAACATGCTCCGTACCTGAGGGCTCCCCTCTTCTCAAGGGCTCAGCACACACTTATGGAGCACCTGCTGTGTGCCTGGGTCCGTGCTAGGCACTGACACGCACCGTGAACGGGAAGCAAAGCGTGGAGCTCACAGCGCGGTCGCGGAGGCAGATGAGGGACAGTCCAGGAGCTGCTCTGACCTCGGGTGGTCAGCGCGAAGGGAGGGACGCAGGTGAGGAGAGTGGGCCCCCCGCAGCCTCCCGTGTGCACCTCTGTGCCCGGAGCCGGGAGCCCTGTCTCAGGAGGTGGCCTCGCAGGCCTCAGGTGCCCAGGGCAGGGAGAGGGCGGCTTCGCTCACACACCCTGGCCCCAGAGGAAGCCCGCACAGGCCAGAGCTGTCCCAAGACCAGCCTCGGTTTGCCCAGCCATCCTGCCCCGAGGAGGGAGCTTCGCTGGGCTGCCCTGTCCTACCTGTGTCCCCGAGGGAAGCACTTGCCCTTCCCTAGGGCTCGTAGATGTCGTCTCTGTGTTGTCAGCAAGTGCACTGACGTTGCTAACCAAATCCTATGGGTAGTGATTCCCTCTTACTGCCCCGAACGGTGGTGGTGCGGGCTCTGCGGGGCCAGGGGCAGGTGCCCGGGAGGAGAAGACAACGCATCAGTGGGTTAGCAACTGAGCTGTTCCTCCGGGGTGGGCTGTGTCACTGCCTCACACACCAAATTTCAAGCAGCTCTGGCGAGGCGTGCCAACCACAAAGTGCCGGCTGCACACGGAGCCCAGAACAATCCGTGGTTGGCTGGGAGCTGCGTGTTCGCAGGGTTTCTTGGCACCTGTGGTTTCTCATGCTGGCCAACAGCCAGGCCGCGTGGGAAGCTGGGTTTGTCAGACACGGATCTCCTGTGGAGGTGGGAGCAGCCCCCCACTGCACACATAACATACAGGCACACGCACACATAGCATGCTCTTGCACACGTGCACACACATGCACACACCACACACATGCACATGCACGCTTATGCACACAGCATATTCATACACGTGCACACAGCACTCACACATGTGCACATGCATGTGCACACAGCACATTCATGCAATGCACATGTGCACACAGCACTCACGTGCACATGCACGCTCATGCACACAGCACACGTGCACATGAATGCTCATGCACACAGCACATGCATGCACATGCATGCTCATACACAGCACATTCATGCACATGCACATGTGCAAACAGCACTCACACATGTGCACATGAATACTCATGTATACACACACATGCATGCACATGCACACGTGCACACAGCACTCACACGTACACATGCATGCTGATACACAGCACATTCATGCACATGCACATGTGCACACAGCACTCACACACGTGCACATGAATACTCATGTATACACAACACATGCATGCACATGCACACATGCACACAGCACTCACACGTACACATACATGCTCATACACAGCACACATGCACATGCATGCTCATGCACACAGATACACACTCGTGCACGTGCATGCTTATGCACATGCAGCACACTCACGTGCATATGCATGCTCGTGCACACACAACACACACGTGCACATACATGATCACGCACACAGCACTCACAGGAGGTGCACACACACACACATATGTGCAACATGAACGTGCCCCCACACGTCCCCCCACAAATGCCACTGCTCACGCCGTCCCGCATCTGTCGTCCAGTCCAAGGTCCGGGAGCTGGAGGAGAAATGCCGGACCCAGAGTGAGCAGTTCAGCCTGCTGTCCCGGGACCTGGAGAAGTTCCGGCAGCACGCGGGGAAGATCGATCTGCTGCGCAGCAGTGCAGTGGCCCCGCCGGATGTCCCCTCGGCCCCCAGCAAGCCTTTCCCCCAGTTCATGAACGGACTAGCCACGTCCATCAGCAAAGGTAAGCGCTGGGCCTCCCCTGCCCCCGCTGTTGGGGGGATGGCCGTGGACCACCCTGAGGCTGTGCCCACACCTGGCAGGGGCACAGGACCAGTCACAGCAGTCCTTAGGGTTAGGTCACACGGGGGGACCAGCACCCTGTTCTCGGCGCTTCACAGGTATCAACAAGTGTAATCCAGAGACAACGTTCTTAGGCCCATTTCACAGATGAGGAAAACCAAGGCGCATGTGTGGGGATAAAGGGTTGAGTCTGGATTTGAACCCAGGACTCTGGCTGTAGAGGCTACAGTGGCGGCTGCTGTGCGAGGATCTATTGGCCGGGTCCCCCCAGCGCTCTGCAAAGCTCGTTTCTTTGCTCTCATTGTTTTCCTTCCTGTCCCCACAACCCGCGGATGACACTGGGACGGACTCGGATCCAACAGAGGCGGTGATGGGTTTCAGCCCCCGCCCTCCTGTTTTGTGAGGGGAGCGGAGAGAGGACAGCATGGTTTGACTTTGCCTGTGTGTGGGGGACGTTTGTCCCGGTCACAGGCGAGACCGTCACAGGCGTCATTTAATTAGATGCCACTAGAGGTGGCTCATTCTCTCGCGGAACGTTGAGCAGGATGCGCGGAGGTTAGACGGGTTTCACGGCCGGGCCTGCCCCCCTGTTTCAAAGGTTGAGCTCTTTGAAATTCAGAGGAGAGGAGCGTTGGAGCCTCACTGTGGAATTCCACAAAACAGAATTTCCACGTTTCTCCTGGTGCTTGTCGGAACGCACGCCGCGTGCTGCCTGGCACTTTTTCCTATTAAAACTGGGCGATGATGCGCGAATCCTGGTGAGTGACATCGCCGCCACCTCTCTGCGCTGCCACGCCCTTCCCTCCCAGCGCACACGAGCAGAGCGTGCCGGCTGGATCCCGGACCGTGAAACACAGGATTGGGGAGGATGGACGTGTCCCCAACGCTGACCCAGCACAGGCTGCACCAGACGCTCGGGCCCGTGTGGAGCCTCCTGTCGGGGGCGGGGATGGACGATAAGGGACCGGGTGGCCTCGGTGCAGACGGAGCGAGGAGGCCGAGAGGGACACGGGCATTTCAGAAGGGTCCGAGCCGAGCTGCCAGGAAACCGCGTTTGAGCCGGGGAACCTGGGAGATGGCGGGGGTCGGACTGTTTGGGTTCTTCCCAGGACAGAAATGCACGTGCAGAGTCCCGGCCCCGCCGTGCTGCTGACCACGTGGGCGCTGTCCCTGCCCAGGCTGCGGACCCCGGCAGGAAAGCCGTGTCGTGCACGCGCGGTGGCTTGTCCGGTCTGGGTGTCTCCCATCAGCGCGGGGCGCGTTGAGAAGCTGGTTCCAGGCACCAGGCAAGGCCCAGCCTCGCAGGCAGGACTCGCTGAGGCCAGCCGCCCGCACGGCGCGAGGACGCGTGACGCTCGCGCGCAGCTCCTGTGGGCAGGAGCGGTGGCGTGCCCGGGCGTGGCGGCCGGGGGTGATCTGGGACAGGGTCCGACTGGTGCCGACAGGAACCGGACGCTGAATGAAAACAGAAGCCGAGCGGCACGTGGAGCCGGGCAGGTAGAGGAAGAGGCACCTGCCGCCACCTCCGCGCAGCAACCGCGTGGATGTCCCGACTGACCCAGCGCGTCTGATAGACTGTCCCTCGCCCGCAGCGGGCCCAGCAGCGTGACCCCTCCCACCGTGGCGACACGTGTGGCCGCGCGGGACGAGCCCCGCAGAGAGCTGCCCCGCAGGGTCCGAAATCCCCCCTGTGTTCTTCCCGCCAGCGGCAGAGACCCGCGTGCGACGGGAGCCCCGTGCCCTGCGCCCGCAGCCGCCAGCGCTCCGGCTTCCTTAGACCCCGCGTCCGCGCGCCCCCGAGTCCCTGCGGCTCTGACTGCTCCGTCGCTCCGCCCGCGTCCTCCAGGGTCCTCGGAGTAGCCGCGAGCGGCAGCGCGTCCTTTCCTGCGGCCGGTGACGTTCCGTCCCGTGCACACGCGTTTCCTTTATCCGTCCATCGGTCGCGGATCTTCCTCTCCGCGGCGAGGGTGGCGGAGGAGCGCGGGGCTGGCCGCAGCGTCCAAGAAGGCGACCCAGACGGACGCGCCGCCCGCTCCTCCTGCCTGGGGCGGCGGGCCGCAAAGGGCTGAGCGTGAGCCGTGGCGGGACTCACGTTCCGTACCGGGGCCCGTCTGACACGAGGGCGGATTCCACAGCCAACGAACAGGGCAGGAGTCGCACGTGAGCAAGATCTCCCTGGAAATCTCCGGGGAGGTACCGCGGCCTGCCCCATGTCCCTGCCCCATCCCAGGGCACGGCCCGCCTGCCCGCTGGGTGGGAGCTGAGGGTCTTTGGTGAAACTCCAGATAGAGCCATCGATTTGGGCTGAGTACCCGTGTTTTTAGGAAACACCCATCTTGAGGGTCAGAATCGCCAGAGTGCCACGTCCACGGCAGGCACGTGGGGACCAGCCCCACTCGAAGGCGCCGACCGCGGGGTTTCGTTTCTGATCTCACGTTCGCTCATCGAGGATGACGGCAGGTGAAAATCTGCCCTGCCGGCCACGTTGTTTTCCTCCAGAGAACGGGATTTGCGAGAGTTACACGCCTGCGCCAGGGGACCCTGCGGCACGCACATTACCTTTGTCGGCTGCGCCGTCCCGTCAGTCGGGATGGGTGACGTTCCGCCGCGGTAACAAACAGCCCCAGATCTCAGGCTCAGGACAGCACAGGCGCACGGCTCGGTCCTGCCGCACGTCCCTCTCGGTGCCACGGAACGGGAGGCACGTCACCGTCACTCACAAGTACTGGAGAAGGGTCTCCTCTCTCTGGAACGTTCCCTGTGCCATCGTGTGGGGAGGAAGTGTGGCTCTGGCCCCAAAGTGGGACGTGTGACGTCCCCCGCACAGCTCGTTGGTCCCCAAGAGCCGCATGGCGGGGGGCTCGCTCGCCCTTGCTGAGGGGCAGGGCAGCAGCGTCGCTGGTCTGAGGCGCTAAGGGGCCCTGGGCTCGGCTGGCTTTTTGATGCCTCTGGGAGCTGAGTCATCCGACAAACATTTAGCACCTGCTGCATGCAAATGCTGTTACAAGCGCTGGGGGTCCGCGGCAGCGAACAAAGCCCTGGACCCCCAGCCTGGCGTTCTGCAGGGGCCCCTGCATCTGTGCTATTTCGGCGCAAGTTCCCGCCGTGGCGCGGTCTGGCCGTTCACTTGACCCCCACAGCGTGGGCCTGCGAGGGGGCCCCAGGGCAGCCTGCCTTGGAGCACGGCCCGCGCCGTGTCCAACCGGTTTTATTCCTGATTTGGCCTCCGTGACTCGTGTTCTTCAGCAAGGCCGTCCCCGTGGCGTGACCGCTGCGGAGAGAGACGAGGCGTGGCCCGGGCAGCGGGGACTCCGGGGGGCCGTAGCCTCTGAGTTCCACACCCGGATCCTGAGTGAAACACCTGCGTTTAATCCGCAGTCCAGGCCGGCAGCAGCAAAGCGCTCGGTTCTCCCTTCAGGCAGCCAGGGCGGGGCAGCAGCCCCTGCAGAACCCTGAGGACGGGGTGGGAAGAGAGCCACCTCAGTCCTTGCACGTCTCTTGCCAAAAATACTTCTGAGCCACGAACCCGGCCTCTTGGCCCGTTAGAACTCTCTTGGTCACAAGTGACAGCAAAGCCGACCTAAACTGGTGTGAGCAGAAAGGAACTCGTCTGTGTCGAGAGTAGATGAAGAGCTGGTGGGTGGCTTCAGGTACGGCTCAATCCAGGGGCGCCAGTCCTATTGCTGGGACCACATTCTCTCCGTCTGTCTTGGGGTTCCTCTCTCAAGTAGGTCTGTTCTCACCCGCACCTTCCTCCTCCCTCGGCATCTCCCAGCTCTGCAGCTGCTCAGATTTAAGCCAAGGAAACGAGGAGCCTCTCTGCCTGCGACTCCCATTAAATTCTCTCTGGGCTCTCCCTCGTCACCTGCCGCCAAACAGTCATTACAGCCAGGGTGGGCCCTGCCAGGCACACGGGCCCAGAGCCGGGTGGGGTTGGTGTGGCCTATGTAGACTAAAAGAAGGAGACAAGGGACCCCAAGGTGACAACCAAAGGCCGTCCCCAGAGAGGGCAGAGGGCCTGGGAGTCGAATGACCGACGCACTCTCATCTCTTTTCCAACTTGTCTCAATGTCTGTGGCCAGGTCAGGGGAGCGCTGTCGGAAGCGGCTCTGCGATTGGCGAATATATCCGGCCCCTCCCACTCCCCGGTGACAAGCCGGAGCCTCTGTCCGCCAAGCCCACCTTTCTGTCGAGATCCGGTAGCCCACGATGCAGATTTGAGTCAGACGTGAGTCCTGTCCTGGCGGGGCCATCCCGTGTGGGTCCGGTGTGGTCACTGGTGGACCCGCCCCTCCTTCCCTCCTTCCCTCCTTCCCTCCGCCCCTCCGCTTCCCCTCTGCTTCCCGGGTTCTGCCCTTCGCTCCCCTCTGTTCCCCAAGCCAGTCGTTAATGCCAGGACGTGGGGACCCCACTGTGGCCGTGCAGATGAGGTTCCCGTTCCCACGGAGGTGGTTCCAGCAGGGTTGGGGGCAGACCAGTGAGTCAGCGCATAGAAACAGATCGTGATGCGTGTGAAGCTAGTGCCACAGGGCCGCGTGGCCCGGGGAGGAGCAGGGAGCAGCCCGTTCAGATGCAGGAGCGGCCCCCGAGGGCCGCTGGGCGCAGGTGGATGGAAGGGCCTGGAAAACGCCCGTGTGTCTGGACAGGAGCTGGGAGGTGGGCGGGCGGGGGTCGAGCCGAGGCCGTGGGCCAGAGGACACGCTCGGATTCTTGTCCGAGTCCAGCGGGAAGCTATGGAAGGTTGAAGGCAGGAGTGACGTGGTCTAATTTCTGTTTAAGACGACGACTCCAGCTTCCACGGGGAGCGTGTGTTACGGGGAGGGACAGAGCAGGGTTGTGAGGGCAGGGGCCGTGCACCCTGCCACCCAGCTCACTCCTGCCCGGAGACCCTGCGGAGTCACCCGGGGGTGGGGTCCCCATCTGCAAACCCCGAAGCGGTGAGGAGAGAGGGTGGTGGCCTGGGGGACAAGCCCCTCACGCCGCGTCCCCCCAAAGCCTTCCTGAGCCTGGGCACCGCCAGACACGTGGGTGGTCTCCTTCCTGGGCCCAGCCCCTGGCGGGCAGAGCACGCCGAGTGGCGTGTGTTCCATGGGGCCTGGCACGGTCCCAATCTCGTGCCTTGAGTCGGGTTGGGGGAGCCCCCGCCCCAGGTGTCACTCAGTTTTGGAGTCTGGGTTCCCCACGACACCCTTCCCTGTAAGGCGTCCACACCGAGGGGCAGTGTGGGCATCTCGGGGTCCGCGGTCTCAGGCCGTCCCCCCAAAGCCCAGGGAGACCCGTGAGAGGCTTTCCTGTGCGTGGCGGGCGTGAGACACGACCCCTCAGCTTCGATGACCGGACACCGTCTGTGTCTCCCCAGATGGAGAATGAGCGGAACTCCAACACCTCAAGGCAGAGATACTCGGGCAAGGTGCACCTGTGTGTCGCCCGCTACAGGTGAGCACGCTGCCCTCTCTGCGCCCGTGAGCGCGGACGCTCGAGCAGGGGGGGGGTGACAGGTCGGGGAACTCGGTGGACAGGCCGTGGGAGCGTGTTTGTGTCCCACACTGCAGCGGCCGTTGATCACGGGCTGGGTGGCTCAGAATGGCGAGATCTGTCCTCTCGCCGCTCTGGGGGCCGGAAGTCAAGGGTCAAGGCGTAGGCAGGGCCGCGACCTCTGAAGACTCCCGCAAAGGCCCTGCCCCACTCGCCCCTCCCAGGTTCCAGGGGCCCCAAATACTCCTGGGCTCGTGGCGGCCTCATGCCCTTCCCTGTCCCCGCCTCACGTGGCCGCCTCCTGTGTGTCCGTGTGGCTCCCCCGTCTTCCCATAAGGACGGTGCCTGGGTCGGAGCCTCCTGCTCCAGTGCGGCTTCATCCCGACTCCCTCACGTTCCCAGAGACCCTGTTTGCGAGAAAGGTCACGTTCACAGGCACCGGGCTTAGGGCGTGAACGCGTCTCTCGGGGAGGGCACCATTCAGCCCGCGACAGGCAGCAGACGGAAGTCGCCGGGGTGACCGCTGTCCAGAGCCGCCCGGCAGTGCCCCGGTGTTCTCAGCGGCTGCCTGGCGCCCCAGGCTGCATCTTGCTGCGGTTACGGCGGGAACTATCGTGAGGGTTTGTGAGTTCTTAGTACAGGGAGAGGCGGTGTGGCCGCCTGGCGGAGCGCAGGCCCTGGGCGGTCTGTGAGCCCAGCCGGCGTCTGCAGGCAGGGCCTCTGACGAAAGCCTTGCGTTTCCTCCTCTAGCTACAACCCCTTCGACGGGCCGAATGAAAACCCGGAAGCCGAGCTGCCACTCACGGCGGGGAAATACCTCTACGTCTACGGGGATATGGACGAGGACGGGTTCTACGAAGGTGTGTGCTGGGCCGTGGTTGTGGCTGACGCAGGCAGGGCTGGTCCACCCCCCAGACCAACTCGTCCTGGTCCCCGGTAGACGGGCCGGGTTCCCAGCACGTCTCTGCCCCGACCCCCTCTCTCGACCGTCCCAGGTCCCCCCTTAGGTGACCAGCGAGGAAGCGGGGCTGGGTTTCCAGCGTTGGGCTCAGGCAGGCCCCTGACACGCGGGCGTGTTTGCGACGTCGGTCTCCGCGGAGCCCGGCAGGCGCGCGGGGCTGTGGCCCTCGGCTTCCAAGGGGGTCTCTCCGGCTCTCGCCCGACAGCGCCAGCACCCCGGGTCTCCCCGTCGGGGTCCCCTCCGCTGCAGGGGACCTCACAGGAGAGTGGCTCCATCCCCTGCAGAGGGCAGGTCCCATCACGGGGGGCTCTGCTGTCCACTCGGGGGGTCGGGGCCCGTGTCCTGCCCCGCTCTCTCGGGGCCCCCTCACAATGCGAACTCTGGAAACAGCCCCCGCTGAACGGCCTCACCCGTTCTCACCTCTCAGCTCGAGGACGGGCGCGAGGCGGCACCCGCAGCCCCGTAACCGACATTCTACAGGGTTTGACACGGCAGTTCCCTGAACGTTTCAACCGCCCCGTGCAGACAGAAGGGGCCTGGTTTCTCCCGTTTCCCCTGAGCAGAGGGAATATTTCTTGTTAAACTAGCGGGTTTCTCTTTTGTGACCTCACGGAGCTGACGGGAGCCCCCGGCTGTCACGCTGGCGTTTACTTGGGGTGCGATCAGGTCGCCTCCAGAGACATCCGTGCGCAGAAGCCTGGCAGGTTCTGCACGATAGCCAGTTGCGCAGAACCAGGGCGGGGCTGGCATCCCGTAGTCCTGGGGCCCCTGCCCTCGCGGAGCATGCTGGCTGGGAAGGGGCAGCCGCCGCCCGCACACAGACGAACGTACAGACGGTGTCAGATCGCCTGAGCATCGTGGAGGGATGGAGGGAGGAGGTGGAGAGGTTACTTTGAGTCACGGGTACGGAGGTGACATCCGAGCTGAGGAATCCCGGGACGATCCCGTTGCTTTGCCGCGTGGTCCTGAGGACTGGGACGGGGCGGGTAGCGTGCTGCAGGGGGCAGGGCCCCACGGCGACGCCTGCTGGGTGACGACTCTGTCCTTGTGCCCAACAGGAGAGCTCCTGGATGGACAGAGGGGCTTGGTGCCCTCCAACTTCGTGGATTTTGTCCAGGACAACGAGTCGCGCGTGGCCGGCACACTGGGGGGCGAACAGGACCAGAACTTCATCAACCGTTCCGGCGTCGGCTTGGACGGGGAGAACATTCTGGACCTGCACTCGCCCACCCGCATGGACTCGGGCGTCACGGACAACGGCGCGGGGACGCTGGACCTGGACGTCGACGACGTCGGAGAAGACATCGTGCCTTACCCTCGGAGAATCACCCTCATCAAACAACTCGCCAAAAGTGTCATTGTGGGCTGGGAGCCCCCGGCTGTGCCGCCGGGGTGGGGGACCGTGAGCGGCTACAACGTGCTGGTGGACAGGGAGACGCGGGCCAGCCTCGCGCTGGGGAGCAGGACCAAGGCCCTCATCGAGAAGCTCGACACGGCCGCCCGCACCTACCGCATCTCCGTGCAGTGCGTCACCAGCAGGGGCAGCTCCGACGAGCTGCGCTGCACGCTGCTGGTGGGCCGGGACGTGGTGGTGGCGCCCTCCCAGCTGCGCGTGGACGACGTCACGCAGGTCTCCGCCCGGCTCTCCTGGCTGCCCACCAACAGCAACTACGGCCACGTCATCTTCCTCAACGAGGAGGAGTTCGACGTCGTCAGGGCCGCCAGGTACCGCTACCAGCTCTGCAACCTCAGGCCCAACATGGCCTACAAGGTGCGGGTCCTGGCCAAGCCCCACCAGGTGCCGTGGCAGCTGCCGCTGGAGCAGAGGGAGAAGAAGGAGGCCTTCGTGGAGTTCTCCACGCTGCCCGCAGGTGAGCCCGGGCCCTTCCGGGGCCTCCCCGAGGGAGCGGCTGTTGTAGAGCAGGGGCCGTGTCCACAGCAGCATCCCAGGACGCAGTTTGTCTCCTCTCCGGCCCTTCTTAATCGTGTGACAGTCACACAGCCCTCTCTGGAAGTGCCTGTCCCCGCACTCTCCCTGGCGGGTTTCTCTTCCGTGACTAGTTCATGAGTCCAGCCCGCCCCAAACTCACTTGTCAGTCGTTCTGCAAACAACTGGGTTGTTCCCTCCAGCGTCATTGTTTCCGACGGCACAGAGTCTGCTCGTGAGTTCACCTAGCGCAGGATTGGCCCCTCGATTCGACGCGTAGTGGCCTATTTCTGTGTCCTCGTGCTCTGCGGGATCCGCGGGGCCCACCCCCTCGAGCCCGACCCATGGAGCAGCGGGGTCACGGGAGGGCGGGACGCGGGGCGGGCTCTGCTCTAAGGAGGGAATCTCGTCTGAGAGGGAGCTAATGTCTGAAGGGCCAGTTCACGCGTGTTACGTGGTGACTCTCATCTCCCCCAACTGCTGGGGCACCGGCGTGAATGCTGGCGCGGGGTGGGCCCCCTGCTCCCCGCTGCCCACGGCGGAGCCTCGCGCTGGGTGCCGGGGCGAGGAGATGAGAAACGCCGCACAGAGACTCCACAGCGACTCACGGTGGGGCGGGGGAGGAGCGTGTCCCTGGGGACGGTAGAAAGGCCCCCAGGAGGCTGGCTCTGAGAAGGGGAGGGCTTGGCACAGAGAGCGGGTCCCCTGAGGTCTCCAGGATGCGGATAACCTGGAGAGGGTGTGGCTGGGGCCATGGGTGCAGCCAGCGTGTTCCAGAACTGATGGTCAAACCGTGTGCCATGTTCCTCCCACCCCCCATGTGACCTTGGGTACGGCCAGGGCACACATGCGGTGCCTGGGAACACGGGAGCACGGTCTGGTCTTGGTCGGGGCTCCCGAGTCACGGAGCCAGGAGGAGGCGCGTCCACTGGGGACGAGCTGTCTGCGAGCGCGCCGGTGCAAGGGCGGGTCTCTTCCGGAAACAGCCTCCCCGACGCGCCCAGAAGCGAGCCACAGCGTCTGTGCTGTCTCGCCTAGCGACAGAGCTCTTTGTCTCCGTGACGGAATTTCACAGTGGGAAATACCACCGCTGCTTGGTGTTTTCTCCGCTGATGCCCAGTGGACTTGCAGTTGCCCGCTGTTAGTGGTCAAGAGCGTGGAGGAGTCGTTCACCGTTTCACCATTAACTGTGATACTACGCGTAGAGTTTTCGTGAACGTCTTTCATCAGATTGAGGAACTTCCTTTCTTTGCCTGGTTTGCTGAAAGTTTTTATCGACAGTGGATGAATTTTTGCCAAGTACTTTTTCTCCATCAAGATGTAAATATTCTTTACTCGATTAACGTGGTGAATTACGTGGCTTTTGAAATTGTAAACCAAGCTTGCACGCCTAGGATTGAAGCCCACTCCATCCTGATGCGTTCTATTTTTATGTATGTTGTGGAGGAGGTTTGGTGATGTTTTGTAGAGGGTTCTTGTATCTACACGCGTGAAGAATGTCGGTCTCTGGTTTTAGTTTCTTACGATGTCTTTGGTTCTGGTATCTGGGCTGTGCTGGACTCAGTGAGTTGGAATGTTCTGTCATCTGCTAATATTGGGAGGAGTTTAGTCATATCCGTGTTATTTAGCTCTTTAATGTTTGATAGAATTCACTGGTGAAGCCGTCTGGACCTGGAGTTTTCTTTGTGGAAATGCTTTAAATTACAAGTTCAGTTAACTTAATAGATATACATAGGGCTATTCAGATTTGCTATTTTCTCATTTGTCCGTTTTGGTAAGTGTGTTTTTCAAGGAATTTCTCCGTTTCATTTAAATTATCTAATTTATTCCTATA